CCAAATCCACTTCACATGTAAACACATCTTTCAGCATTCTTGTCAGCTTTATTCAGCGTGCACATGACTGACTATGCAGTCATTTTGACATTAACAAGTTATATTTATATATTCAAGACACCATCATTTCAAAATCATGTGTAAACCGCTATTTCCATGGTTGGTTCGTGAATTTGCATGTAGGCCTCTAAAACAGGTTTACATGCAAATCGATAAGATGTCTTTTGGTAGTTATCAGTGTTTTGGCATACATGTAAGCACATCATTTTTACACTGAATTAAAGTCCTTGTGTGAATTGCTATTGGAAACTTTTTTTTTTTTTCTTTCTCTCTCACAGTCTTGGAAACTTCATTACAACTGCAGAGAAGATCCGCCTTCCGGACGACTGTACAGTAGGTTACATCATCGAGGCTTTGCTGGAAGTTCCACTGACACACACAGGCCTGTTCCACTCACACCTGGAGAATCTGCAGAGACTCCCAACAGACAACATACTCAAACAGGTCAGATCACTGAACGGCCCATGGGCTAAAAGAGTGGTGATTTCTCCAGATGTCCAGCATAATGTGTAAAACAGACATATTAAACGTTTCCACAGTTGCACTTAAAGCAAACAGGTTTTTTTTTTTGGTTTTGGTTTTTTTGCAATCCTGCATAATTTGCCATTTAAGCGCAAAATAATCACTTTCTGACACATTAGTATGAAAAAGAGACATGCATAAATGAGAAAGCGTGGATGTAAAAAAAAAAAAAAAAGAGTTATTAAGTGCAATAAGCTGCTGCACACATGCTTAAACGGTCAAATGCACACCAAATTGCAAATGGTAAAAGTGTATAAATGTTTGCAAAACAAATCTGATGTCTATACTGATATATGTTGGATCTGTGAATTAAGTCTTAAAGGGCCTGTTTACACCTGGTCATTTCATGCATTTTCGCTGATCGGATATCTATCTGATTTGTTAAAACGTTTCCATTTACACTTGGCCACATAAATGTGTTGTCGCAAAACGGATTTAAATCCGATCTTCAATTCCCGCGCTGTATTCAAATTTAACGGAGTTCACGTCAACGAAATCAAAAGATAAGCGCTGCATTTTATTAATTATCAGCTCATTTCAAGATCAAAGACCGCAATAGGAGAGCGCGCGGCATCAGCACTGGAAAGATAAATATGTCTTGCTACTTTTAATGAAGATGATTGTGTGTTGACCGTCTGCGTCTTACTTTGTTTAATTCGCAGCAGTTTGCACATCGGCTTGCTGAAGAGATGCTCAGCTACTCGTCCACAGTTATGCGTGTTGCATTAGCGCAGTCATATCTGACTATAATGTCATATAGCCTATAACACACTCTCACACGTTTATTATTTTAACATTTTGGGAGGAGTAAAATTGACAAATGTGGTTTCAACAACCAGATGCATTTACACTTGTCCAGTTTCGTCTGGAATGCGGCACAGACCACCTCCTGAAGTGGTTTGAGCGATCGGGTTTATATCCGTCTCGAATGCGTTTCGGAGGGCATTTACACCTGGCCTTTTCACGATCGGATAGCTATCCGATCAGACAAAACGCATGAAGTGACCAGGTGTAAACAGCCCCAAAGTGACTCTAGCCTAATATACGCATTGCTGTCCGTGTCATTTAATGTTAATCAAACAACAAAAGACAGAGAAAATCTCTCACTGCTCTTGATTCAGTAATATTAGTAGCTTTAATAAGATTCAGTATATGTCATTCATACATGTCATAATAGTGTTTTACATTGTGAGTTTTATGTATTTTTTTCTTTGTTCTTATTTATAATAACAGAAAATATTGTATAAAAGTTTTAAAAAGGCAAAAATAAACAAGATTTCTGCTTTTTTTTTTTTTTACCTGTCATGTTTGACTATTGTACATATAGTGTCATACATAATATGGTAAATATTATAAAAATAACAGTGCAAATTTCCCTCAAAATTCTGGAAATTACCACCATATAATCAGTGATTTTGATCACAACAAAAATCACCCAAAGATTGTGAAATCCTGTCGTGACTGGTTAATGTTGTAGCACCATGGTTGTCCAAACTAGCATACACTCGCGGTGTTTCTAAAGCAGTGTTTGATAGTGTCCTGTGCAGCTGGATTTGGCTTTGATCCCAGATTGTTCCCACATACTTAATTTACCCCATCTGTGTAAATATATATCCCACTTACATAATACTCCAGTCCAATGATGATCGAGCTCCTCACAGGTTCTGTGTTTCTTTGCTGTCCTCCATAGGTGACCCTCAGCTATGGTGGATTCGAGAACAGGAGGAATGTGGTCAGTGTTGGAGGAGCGTTCTCATTGGCTGAAGACCCTACACGGTACACTAAATACATACAGTCTTGAAACACATAGCTTTTCTATTACTTCAAAAAGTTTTAGTGCAAGACTTTATTAAGCAACTATTATCTCTTCAGGTTTAAAACGGTTCACTGCCTACTCTACCCAGACACAGAATGGTGCCCACGCAAGACTCGTCACTGACCTCTGGGATACGAATGCCTCATCACGGAGCAGAGACCTTTCCTTAAATCTCTTCATACCAAAATAATACTCAGAGTAACTGAGCTGGTTGGCAGTATGTAAAGGCAGTTAAAGGAATAGGGAGTAAAAAGTTAAGGAAAGGAATAACGAATCCAAAAATGAAACTTTGTTGAAAATGTGCTCACCTACAAGCCATCCAAGATTTAGATGAATTTGTTTCTTCATCATATTTGTATAAATGTAGCATTCCATCACCAATGGATGCTCTGCAGTGAATGGGTGCCGTCAGAATGAGAGTCCAAACAGCTGATAAAAACATCACAATGATCCACATGACAAATAACTTTGGTTTGTAAACAGTGCTTGATCTGTGCATATTTCACTCCTGATTCAGACGAGATGTCTTTTTCATTGTAAAAAGCAATATTATGGAGCGAGGACTCGTATTTTGGCCAGAATCAATGGTTTGAAGTTAAAAATGTCTTAATGCTGTTTTTGTTTTTCACAAACAAGCAGCTTTTCACTTCATAAGATGTTAACTGATGGACTGGAGTGGTGTGGATTACTTGTGGATTATTATGATTTTTTTCTCAGCTGTTTGGACTCTCATTCTGACGGCACCCATTCACTGCAGAGCATCCATTGCTGAGACACTGATGTTCCGATGGAGAAAAATTTTAATTTTTGAGTGAACTATTCATTCAACAAGTAGTTTTTATTTGGTACTTTCTACATTTATATGGTGAAACAGGGTGGCTGTAGTTTATTAAACACATTTTTGTGTTGCCAAGTGATTTTCACATATTGAGTCCCTGTTGTAAGTGTTTTGACAGGATTGCGCTGTCTCTCAGATTTACTGGGGGATTTTTCGTTGAAATGATTCAAGACACATTTTTGTGGCTTTGACATCAGCTTTATAGTCCTCTTTTTCCTTTGGGCCGTAAATATGCCCACACAAGCCTTTAAATTTGTGTGCAAAATGCCTGTAAGGATGAGAAAAACTGTATCGATGCAGTTTTATAGTATTTTTTTTTCCAGATTTCTGCAGCCCAGCTCATCTACTGCCAATGCTTTTCAGCTTGTGTTCTTCTCTGTTCATGATTTGTGGATCCAGGCTGCAGTTGCACTCAGTATGTCTCTAGACTTGCAGGCAAACATTCTTGGTTGGAGTCGAGCAGTTGGATATGTATATACAGACCAAAAAGAAATTGTTGTAATCAGTCCAAGTTTTAATCATGTATCCAATCTTCAGTATTGAATTATTTCCATTGAAACACCAGTGTGAGTGTGGTGACTAGAAACATGAGTGTTTTAAATGTTGTGTTTAATATGCTGTTCACATGATCCTCCTGATATTTGCACAAACATGTTCCTCACTGCAGGCCAGTGGTTTGCGTAAACATGCCAAAACTACACTATGGTTTCTCTTTCCTTAATAGTGACAAACCTTTTGCTCTCCGTTGACAGAAATGCTGTTGCAGTTGACTATTTGTTACTTTTTTTGCACCTCTTGTTTTTTTAATCTGACGAATTAATTATGATGTGAAGTATGATTTTCATTTTAATAAATGTATTTATTATGCATGTGCCAGTGTATGCGTGATTCATTTGAACACAATGCTGCTGCTGGTTTATAGTATTAAGATGTACAGTAATACTTAACATGTCTTTCATGGAAGAGTAGTTGATTTATTATTATTAGATTTTTTTTTTCTTGAGACCACTGGGTGTAAGTGTTGATTAACTCTCAGTCTTATGAAATTCATGCAACATATTTTCAAAACCAATTTATTGAAATGCTGTATATAAATAATAAATTACCCAATTGTAGCTTAATCAGGGTTTGATTCCCAGGGAATGTATGAACTGATAAAATGTTACTCTTGAGTTGCTTATTCTGATTTATGCATGACAGTGAATTAATTTGCTCTCAAATTTTGATATTTTAGCCATTGAATGATCCTTAAAGGACCCGTAGGAACTGTTCAAGATGGTTATTCTGCTTGTTATTTTACAGTCATAAGATATTTAGATCTTATTTCGAAGGCATAATTATCTCATAAGAATTTCTTTGGCTTTATATTATAGAGATTATAATAAAATAACTATTCAAAAGAAAACCACAGGCTTCAGGACTTGCATTTCAACAGAAAGCTAAAGCTCAAACCAAATAAAATGCGGGTTTACAGAAGATTTAAATTTCAGTCTCGTACTCAAGCCTTCATTGGGGGCCCCAAAAATCAGGAGCCACGAAGAAGAAGCTTAAAGATAAACACTTGTTCAAGTAAAGTTGCCTTATGATTATTTGCCCATAGTCCTACTGACAATATTAAGCACTAATGAAAACTAAACAAACTAAAAACTGGATCGTGTACTAACTGTGATCGATTGCACCGAGGTGCCTTCTGTCGTGGAAGGTGATCTTCACATTAATAACAGGTTTAAAAAAACAACAACTTTGTTATGTGAGGAGGTCATGTGACAAGTACAGACACTCTGCTGACAGTTCGGCTTTCCTGTCCAGAGTGAACTTCGCTCAGTCAGACACACATCAGACTGAAACTGAGGTATGTAGCGAATCATAAAGCTTTCATGCAACGTTTTTGCGCTGTTAAACACTCCGGTTTCGCCTGCAGTGTTTGCACCGTGACGCCAAACGGACTGCTTCACGGCTGATTGTGTGGCTGAACTTGGGCTGCATAAAGAAAGTATGGAGATAACATTTAGCGGAAAGCGTGCTTTGGTGACTGGAGCTGGCAAAGGTAAGCTTTCATACTTAAAGGGACATTTACCCTGCTGAAAAAAAAACAAAAAACAGCTAAATCCAGCCTAAGCTGGTTTTAGCTGGTCGTCCAGCCTGGTCATAGCTGGTCAGCAGGCTGGTTTAAGATGAGGTTTGGCCACTTCTTTAGCTGGTCAGGCTGGGAGACCAGTTTAAACCAGCTAAGACCAGCCAACCAGCTTAGGCTGGATTTAGCTTCTTTTTTTTTTTTCCAGCAGGGTTCACCCAAACATTCAGCCAGCATCACCCTTGCTACAAATTTCGATACAAAAGGAGAGATAGACTCTTTTCCATTCATTTACTAATGAATCACGACTTAAGATGCCTCAAAAAGGAGATAAAATCACCATAAAAGTATACTATAAATTATACTATACACTATACATTTCGGTTATCTTAAAGGGGTCATATGATGCTGCTAAAAAGAACATTATTTTGTGTATTTGGTGTAATGAAATGTGTTTATGTGGTTTAAAGTTAAAAAAACACATTATTTTCCACATACTGTACATTATTGTTTCTCCTCTATGCCCCGCCTTTTTGAAACGCGTCGATTTTTACAAAGCTCATCGGTCTAAAAAAGCGAGGTGTGCTGGGACTGAGAGGGACAGGCACATTTTGGAAAGTTCATGAGAGAAGTGCAAAGTCCGATTAGGGAACAAATTATTTATGTATGCATGTATGTATGCATTTATTTACTTATTTATATGTATTTCTTTTTTTATTATTCCTTTACATTAAGGCTAAAACAAATATATAACATGAAAGAAGATATTTTGAAAAAAAATTTTACGCACAGTGGAAGGCAGTGGTAACCAAAACAGTGTAGTTACTCATTGAACTCCTATATATATATATATATTTGGAATTGAGATAGAAACTCGCAATTGTGAGAGAGAAAAAAAGAAAGTCACAATTACCTTGTTTATTTTTCATTCCTTGGCAAAAAATAAATAAATAAATATAAATCGAGAGGTGTAAACTAAGAATTACAAGAATAAAAGTCAGAATTATCTTCATGCCTTATAGTTGAATTTTGCAGATTAGAACTGGCCGATAATATTGTTACATTTTGCGATGATACAAGTAATCCAGCAGTTGAAATGGCTGTATATATTGCTTTTCATGATTCTGCTGTATATGTATGTGGATAAAGTCAGATATACTTACAGTTGTTGTAAACTGAAATTATTCATTTGTTATGTTGTGATATTGAGGATTAAGAAACCTATAAGGTTTTGTTTAATTTATAATAATTACTGTTTAGTGAGTTATATCACTGCATATAAATGACCAGGTTAACATTTTGATTTTAATTTAAAAAGTTAAGTAAAAGTCATGGCAAATTACTTACACATTACACATTGTACATAGTACATGATATTCTTAAAATGTCTTCTTTTGTGTTCAACAGAATTTTTTGTGAGCTCTTCCTTTAAAAGTGCATAATCACATGTGCATAATAAGTGCATAGTATGCATGCTTTGAACTTTGCAAATTAGTCTTGTTGAGTGTAATGATACACCAGATCGTTGACTTTCCCTCAATGCCTCCTAGGGATCGGACGGGCCACGGCACTGGCTCTGGCACGCTGTGGGTCAGAGGTCACGGCTGTCACACGCACTAAGGCTGACCTGGATAACCTAGTGCAGGAGGTAATGACCCCTCGGTCACGGTCCAACTCATCCCGAGACAAAACCCTAAGGATCTATTGTCTCCCAGCATGCATCAGCATTCTTCCGCATCCCAAGAGAGCCTGCTGCTCCTTTAGGCTTTATAGGTCTCATTCAGCCAGACTGTGACAATGAACAATCTCTTTAATGCTTTTGATCGCCAGTGTCCCTCCGTTAAGCCGGTATGCGTGGACCTGTCAGACTGGGATGCCACAGAGCAGGCGCTGAAAGACGTCGGTCCGGTGGACCTCCTGGTGAACAATGCAGCCTGCGCTAAACTTCAGCCCTTCCTGGAAGTCACGCCAGATCAGTTTGACATGTAGGGCTTTGGAATATCACTCACACACTATCATTTGTGTTTTTAAATGGTTGGAGTGCATTTGTGGTTGCTTTCGCAGGTCTTTCAACGTCAACGTGAAAGCTGCACTTCATGTTGCTCAAGTAAGAAGACCAAACCTATGCTGGATGATTTCATAAGGAGTTTTATAAATGCTAGATACACTTTTAATGGTGTTGTGTTCATTTATTGTAGATCGTGGCTAGAGGAATGAAGGCCAGGGGAAGTGGAGGATCCATTGTGAACATCTCGAGTCAAGCATCACAGTGTGCCCTGAAAGATCACGCCGTATACTGTGAGTGCAGTGACACACAAATCTATTACATTCATGCAACCGGGAACATTGTCCCAGACCTATTTATTGGCCTGGGGAGAACGATTTTGTTTGCATACCAATCCAATCCAATTTCTAATTCTGTTTATATGAGTCCTAAACATTGCAATCTGATTTACATGTGCGTGCAAATCTATTACATTCATGCAACCGGGAACATTGTCCCAGACCTATTTATTGGGCCTGGGGAGAACGATTTTGTTTGCATACCAATCCAATCCAATCCAATTTCTAATTCTGTTTATATGAGTCCTAAACATTGCAATCTGATTTACATGTGCGTTACACTAGTGCTCTAATATGCTGAATTGCTGCTCAAGAAACATTTCTGATTATTATCAATGTTGAAAACAGTTGTGCTGCTTCATATTTTTGTGGAAACCATGATACATTACCATTCAAAAGTTGGGGGTAAGTAAGAAATAAATAAATTTTTTAATTCAGCAAGAACACATTAATCAAAAGTGACAGTAAAGACATTTATAAAATAAATGTATGAAATATTAAACAGCAAAAATGTTTTTCAGCATTGAGAACCATTATTAATAACTGAGCCCAAATCAGCATATTAGAATGATTTCTGAAGGATCATGTGACACTGAAGACTGGCGTAATGATGCTGAAAATACAGCTTTGACAGCTATGGAGAAAATTGGTTACTGGAACGATTATCAGTTATGAGTCAAGTGTACACTTTAAGGGTCATTATACCAAAATATTCAGAGACTGACCAATCAGAATCAAGTATCGCAGACATCAATGGCCCTGGTTTCCTTGCGTTACTGGAGAAGGATCTTGAATCGATAACCAAGTCCAATTCTGAATCCAGATTGTGTATGCTACACTGAAGTGCACTTTTGAAATGATCATTTGAAGGTGTTTTACGCAGGTGCCACTAAAGGAGCGCTGGACATGCTGACCAGAGTGATGGCGCTGGAGTTAGGGCCGTATCAGGTTCACCTCTCCTCATTGCTTATTAAATCATGATTTAAAGTCCAGAGCTTTGTCAGATCATGTTTATGAAATCTGTCAGACACTGAGCTCATTATATGTTGTTTACAGCTTTGGGGAAATAAATTGTACATTGTGGTGAATGGTCTTTCCAGGAGGCTTCAATCCAGTCAACAAGCACCCTCTTAAATATATAAATCTGTTTGCTAAATGTCTCATGGGCGATTACATGTGCTTTGTAATTACTTGAAGAAGTGGATGTAATTGCTGACAGATAATAATGCATATTTATGGCAAAGTTGTTTGTGCATCGCCATAAATTATGGGATGGATGGTGTGTTAATTTTGACCTTGTTGCTCTTCCTAATTTAATGGACAGCAGAGTACAGATCCTGACATTCTTGAGATTCTAGGAATGTCAGATTAATTAAACTCATAATATCTAACTCATGAGGACATATATTCAATGCAGTATTTTTTTTTTCTCTTGAGAGCTAGATGTGATTAATGAACAATGTGGATTTCCAAGTTGGCCTGAACGCAGTTGTTACTCTTTTCATGAAAAGTGAAATATGATGATCATGATGAGTTATGATTTTTTTAGATGATGATGATGGTTATCTTTATATAATAATAATAATAATAATAATAAACAGAATATACAGTAACATGCATAACAGGGTCGCAGTTTTAATTACCAAGTTTGGTGTATTTTCTGTTTTTATATTTTTTTATATTATTTAAACTAATTATGATTATGATAATGTTATTGTAATTATTAATATTAATGTTCTTATTAATATATTATCATTATTATTATTATCATCTTCATTATATAATAATAATTAGAATAATAATATATTTTAAATTTAAATAATATTTAAAATATAAAAACAGTAAAAACACCAAAATAGGTAACAGGGTTGCCGTTTTATTTACTCTTTTTTTTTTATAATATTATTTTATTATTATCATATGGTTTTTATAACCATTATTATATAATAATAACATTATTATATAATATATAATTATTATATAATAAATATGGTCATTTTATTATTATCATTATTATTTAAAAATTGACATTATTATTATTATTATTATTATATGGAAAACTTAAACTAGCTGTAATAATAATAATTATAATATAATTATTATTATTTTATTATTTTTACGGTTAAAGTAGAATTTGTTTTAAAAATGACAAATCTAAAATCAAATCTTTACCAGTTTTCTGTATATTGAACTTGATAGATGGATAACTATATTCATTGATGTGAATTCAGCATGTCTTATGCAATGTGACCTCGACAGATCAGAGTAAACTCCGTGAACCCGACCGTAGTGATGACAGAGATGGGAAAGATTGGATGGAGTGACCCAGAAAAAGCCAAAAGCATGACGTCACGCATCCCACTGGGGAAGTTTGCAGGTTAGTGTGTGTCTGACTGTAGGTCACCATAACACACAATGGAAAGTTTCAATAATCAAGACTAACAAGCCAATAAATCTCACTGGAGGTCAGTTTACATTTACATACAGTTACTCACACTGGCAGTGTTGCTGTCACTTTCCAATGCAATATAAAAGAGTTATTTAATGCTTCTCTTTCTGCATTTGGGATTTAGCGCAGATTGCGTAAGCGTGTTTTAGTGACATCAGTGACGCTTATGAAACACCAGAATGTCCAAGTCTGTCAACAACCACAGTCTCTAGTGATTTCGGTTTTTTCTAGTGTGTTTCTGTTTGACAAGCGCAGTAAGCGTCTTTCTTATCGTGTTGTTTAGAAGTGGAGGATGTGGTGAACTCCATCCTCTTCCTCCTCAGCGATAAGAGCGCCATGACCAACGGCGTGATCCTGCCCGTGGATGGAGGTTTTCTGGCTTGCTAAGAACAAACATCATCAGGCACAGGTGAATGAGGTGGAATGGATGCCTTTTACCTGTTACAACTTATAACAAGTCATATTCATATCTGTTCTTCACACAAAGCTATCGTATGGCTTGGATTACAGAGCATCTGCTTCCTTTTTTGAGTTTTCCTTGTATGGAAAAGAGCAGTGTGAACATTCTGCTGAATATCTCCTTTTGTGTTACACAAAATAGACATTCCACTTTGGAAGTTTGAGTGTGAGTAAATGATAACAGAAATTCTATTTTTGTGTGAACTGTTCCTTTAGACAAGCTTAATGCATAATGAGCAGGACATTAAACTGAACTGAAGCATTTAACAGCTGTTGCTCTAATGGCCTCATGTGAGAGCGTGAAGGTCTCTGCTTCTAGCCACTTCCAGTTGCCTTGACAATACAGTAGATATTATGCCCTGTAGTATCATGTACAGCCGGTAGAGATCGGCTTTCACACCGCTGTTATTTTAGTATCATTGATATACTACTATAATTTGTATTCATATTTTGTCATTTCTGTTTTAATTTGAGTTGTTTTAGTAATTTTGTTTTGTTTTGTGTTTTTTTTTGTCTATATAGTTTTTGTCTATATGTCTTTTTTTTTCTTCAATTTTTGTTAAACTAAAAGAAAATGAGAAATGAGAAAGTTAAGTTGAATAAGTTGAAATATATTTTAAATTATTATTTTTTTTATTAAATTAAAAAATTTTTTTTTTAGATGTTCTTTTATTTCAGTTAACATTTATTTTTTAAGTAATAAAAAAGTTTTTTTTTTTAATGGTTTTAATTTTTAGTTTTAATTTTTTATAATAATAATAAGCCTGATTCACTCACTCACTCATGCACAATGTAATGATTAAATCCAGATTTTCCTGACCAAATTTTGGACTTTTAATCAAGTCAGTCAGGCTAAGTCATGTCAATTTAATTTGTATAGCACTTTTCACACATACAATTTTTTTCAAAGCAGATTTACAGAAAATCATGATGTTAATGTTTAGATCTTATTATTTTCTTGCCTTATAATTGCATTTAGCAGAGTAGAGCTGGACGATAATGTTGTTTACATTTTGCAGCTATATAAACAATCAAGCAGTTGAGATTTGCTATTTTGCTTTATGTAAGAGCACTGTATGTATGCAGATTAAGTTGGATATACTTATATATAGAGAGAGAGAGCTGTGCAATAATATGGTTTACATTGTGCAATGATATCAACGATCACACAGCTGAGATTTGCTATATTGCTATTTATTTTAATAACAAAAAGGCCTCAACTGACAATGAAAAATGTATTCACTGTGGTTTAAGTTTGCACACTCAAAAAAAAAGATGACACATTTGATGTTAAAAGCATTGCAAATGACCATATTAAAAAAAATTGTTCACCAAAAATAGATTTCGGTCTGCTCCTCGCATTTACAGGGCTTGCAATATAACGCACAAGACATGTGCATTATTATACTGTACTTTTGTGGTAATTTAATCAAATGAATGAAAGCAGAGAGTCAAAGTAAGGGTAAAACATGAATAGATTTATTAATTAATGCATTGCTCATCTAAAACATTTTGTAAATATTCTATCTTACATCATGGAAATGTCTTTTGGCAGCTATGAAGATCTTGTTTTTTTGTCCATTTTGAGAGTTATTTACAAAGTCAGGTGAGAGAAAGGACGAGCACCGATGCAGGATACTGTTTGTGATCATGTAGACTCACACCCGACAGCCAATCACGTCACAGACAAACGCCCACACTCACACCACATGCAGACACATATTAACAAGGTTCAAGATTAGGGATGGGCGATACCACTTATTTTGTTTTCGATACGATACCGATATTTTTCAAGGCAGTATCGTCGATATCGATACCGATTCGATACTTCTGAACTAAACTTTTAAATTATGAAATTTATTAAATTATTAAATTACTAAGAGTAAAATGGGTAATGATAAGCGTTTAACTTTATGTTTAAAACACATTTTAACATTCAATACGCCTTAATTGTAACTTATTACGATACGCCCATCCCTATTCAAGATGCATGTCCTTCAGTTACAGACACAGTCAGGCTTCTGGTTGTGGCATGCAAGTCACTCGTACACACCCACTGATGGACAACATTTGTTCAGACAGAGCGCAGAGATTCCGGATCGTGAAGCTGTACCATAAAGCCCTTCATCAATGGTTTATCCGTACATAAAAAAACTAGAAAAGAAAGGAAATCCAAAACCAGTGTATTCACTAACTGCATCGATTAGTTTGTATCAACATAAAAGTAGAGACACAATGTGCGACTTTCACAGTTTCCTTCAGCAGTATTTGGAACGGCCCAGTTGTTAAAGAGTCGAGAAGAAAACATCTAGTGTTCATAAATGCATGAGGCTTTAAAGTCAACGTGAATTTCAATTTCAGTTCTTCAGCGATGCACGTTATTCCAAATCTTTGTCTTTGTAATCTTTCATCCAAATGACAATATACCAAGTTATGAACAAACATTCTTCCAGTAACGTTATTACGGTGTTCATTCAGGGTTATCAGGTCTTTAATAACGTTAGCAGAAAAAAGTTTATACATTGTTCACGAAACATTTTATTTCTGAAACATTGAAACTATTGTTTCAGAACGTTCAGAGAACATTCAAAAGTAACATTCCCATAATGTTTGCAAAATGATAAAATGGAATGTTCCCTTAACATTCGCATAGAAAAAAATGTAATGACAACATGACTAGCTAACAAGGAACGTCAGTTTGACTAGCATTCTGGAAAAAGTTCTGAACATACGTTTTTCCTGTAATATTAATACAGTGTTCATTCAGCGTTATCTGGTCTTTAATAATGTTCTTAAAATGTTAGCACAAAAATGATACATCATTCATGGAACGTTTGATTTCTCAAACATTCTGCTTTTTAAATGTAACTACTTTGTTTCAGAACGTTCAGAGAACATTCAAAAGTAACATTCCCATAATGTTTGCAAAATGCTAAAACGTAATGTAACGTTTGCATAACCAAGAAAAAAAACTTATTTAAAAATGTTTTGAATGTTCAGAGAACACAATGTTTTCAACGTTAACCCTTCCATGACAACCTACACTTTTCACATTCCAAACATTTGCAACATTTCTTTTTCACTGAATATCCTGTTTTACTCATTGCGAATGTAAAATGTGTCACGAATGTCGTTTCACGTTGACTTTAACGCCGTCGGCAATGCTAATACTGCGAATGGTTAGCTTTATACAAGACAGCACTTTCCCCTTTCTTTGACACGCTTCCTTTACAACACCAAGAAACACATCCTTACAGTATGTCAACAATTACACTGTACCACTAAAACTTCTCATATAAGCGATTTGAAATGGAATATTACGTCTCTGGGCGTGTGAGGCCGCGAAAAAACAAACGCCATCTACCACAAGGTTTCCCTCCGACTGGACGCGTCTAGCCAATGGTTCATATTCATGTAATGTGCATTAGAACTTGATGGACGGCTGTCACCGAACCTGTGAGAGTAGTACAATATATTTTCCAAGAGGCTGATTAAAAATATTGTAGCTTTGTGTGGAGTGCCAGGAATTGTTGTGGCGTTTACTCAGAAGAGAGTGCAGCGCTTGCCGCGTTTTTTGACGGGTGGAGGGCAGAGGACGGCACGGATGGCCTCGTCAAATACAGTCTTTAGACCGCGCTGAGTCAGAGCAGAGCATTCCAGATACTTCACAGCACCTGCAGCATAAAGACAAGAAAAGATGTACTTTCAATTTTTTTTAAACATTTGTTCTACTTGGAAGAATTTTACTTGAGGAAACAGGTTTTGGTAAAAATATGCTCAACTAGGGCTGCATGTTTAATCTAAATAATCAACAAAAGAGCTTTAAAGGGGTGGTTGATTGCGATTTCACTTTTTTAACGTTAGTTAGTGTGTAATGTTGCTGTTTGAGCATAAATCCTCTTCAAAAATATCCTCTGCTTCTCAATCGAGCTCAAACTGATAAGCGATATTAACGACGCCATTGTTTACAATACAACCGGAGCACATGCCGCCGAGGAGAGGGGCGGAACGTTTAGACGCGCACTAGAGGCGGTTTAGCCAATCACAACACACTGGGCTAGCTAACCAATCAGAGCCCATCGCCTATTTCTGAGGGAGGGGCTTCATAAAAGAAGGAAATGATCAGCGTGTTTCTCAGAGAAGGGACAGAGCGGTGTGGAATAAAGGTAAATTATGTGAAAAATAATGCGTTTTTAAAAAACGAAGCATTAACACGTTAAACTGCACCCCATAAACACAATCAAGCCTAGAAATAAAACCAGTGAACCACCCCTTTAAGAGCTCCCTGCAGTCATTCATAAATCGAGTGTTTTTCTCTCTACACACCGATCTCTCGGGCCATGGCCAGACCCTGAGGGTAGGTGATGGGCGACAGCTTTTTGTCCCGCAGCCTCTCTATGGTGTCCTTATCATCTCGCAGATCCAGTTTGGTGCCCACCAGGATGATGGGTGTGTTGGGGCAGTGATGTCGCACCTCGGGGTACCACTGGAGCATAGAAAGTTACAGTCGTATATTACATTCTAGTATCAAAATTTTGTTTTTGTGTGATTGCATGCTGTGCTTTCAACAAAAAAACTAAATGAAAAATGAGTTGCACCAACCTTTGCACGGACGTTCTCAAAAGATGCTGGGCTCACCAATGAGAAGCATATTAAAAACACATCCTGTAGAGAAAACAGAGGGAAAATGCTGTTTTTAATGATATTCGCAACCCCAGTTCAATTGCACCACACTGCATCATATCTACTGAATGAAATCCAAGACTTGTTTCCTACTAATCTTGATGGGCTGAATCCAAAAATAGTGTCTGATTTGCTCGAGCATGTCACACTTTCTCACAAAATATGCATTTTAACAACCATTTATAAAGGGAAGAAGTCTTGTATTATTCTTTAATCAGTGGAAAAACTGCCACAAAGACATGATTCCTGAAACATCTTCATTCTTCATTCTTATATTGTGGAAAAAAACTGATATTTTTTGACTCAGCTTCTTTTTTTTTTTTGCTACTTATATACAGTACAGTAGTCAACATTTGAAGTGGATCAAAAAAATTCATCAAAGTTGTCCTAAGACAAGAACAGGTATTGTTTTGGTTTTAGGACAACTTTGATGAAAGGTTTTGATCCACTTCAAATGTTGACTACTGTATGTATATTATACACACACACATTGTGTGTGTGTGTGTGTGTGTGTGTGTGTGTGTAAAAGTCACATCACATAACATATAATAAGATATTTTTCAAATTCATCATTGCTTATCGAAACATTTCTCCAAACAACAAGAACAAAAAAGAATAAATGAATAGATAGATAGACAGACAAAATACAATAAAGAAAATGAGAGATAAAAAAATGCCAAAAGGAACAAAAATAAATAAAAAATAAATAAATCAGAGTATTTTGTTGGCGATAATTATTTAAAAAAAAAATGTTATTAAATTATTTTGGGTGAATGTCCATGAAATTGTTAAAAATGTATTTAATCATAAAATTCCACTGACTTTTGAGGTACTTTGTTTTGGACTTACCAACAGATTACCAATATTTATTTCTAATAATGGAACAGAAGATTCAGGGCTGCGTAATTTATTCACTTCCTGTTGTTGTGAAGAGGAAACATGACTATATTTTTGTTATTTTCATGTCTGAAGTGCATTTAAGTCAATTTTCTAAATTCTAAAGAATGCTTAAAAGGTATTTGTTTTTCCGGTAGAAGTAAAACTGACAAAAAAATATCCTTTGTGCTCATGTGTCCATGACAATGTGTGGAGACTATAATTCAGTTATCATAAAATTATAATTATTATTAAATATAATGTAGAATTCAAAGACACGCACCGTCTGTGGGTACGAGAGGGGACGGAGGCGATCATAGTCTTCCTGTCCTGCTGTATCCCATAAGCCAAGGTTGACCGGTTTGCCATCGACCATCACATTGGCAGAGTAGTTGTCAAATCTGAAAAATGCACATTGAATTAATGCACAATGATGCCAACCCTGAAACAACATACAGAACTACCACATTTTGCTATAAGTTTGATTGCATCATATAATAATTGCTGTTAATAGTGTTCATCGTCTGTTTGATTACGTCTTTAATTGATTTTTCTGTACCTTTCTGCCATATGTACATTAACTGACAGTCACCACTGATAAGCTACCACTAAATATTGTAGAAACTTCATTTGCTGTAAAGTTGCTTTGCAATGATTTGTATCGTGAAAAGCGCTGTACAAATAAACTTGACTTGACTTGACAATAAAACATGGCAAAACATTCAGAATGAGACAAATGGCATCGGAATTAGTCATTGCCACCAAAACTGACTTCTATTCTGAGCCATTAACTATTCCTGAACACTCATCCATCTCTATGACGAATAAAGCAATTCCTCCGAAATACATTCCAGAATCTCAGTGAGTTGGATCAGCTCACATTTTTGGAATATCTCCCTAGAAAGCTTTAGGATAGAGTTCATTAGATCTTTAGAATGCTCAACTAGTTGTCTTATTGAAATGTAAATCAATGCTGTCACATGCAATTCATGCCAGCAGCACAACAGGCCTGAGATCATCAGTGAGGAGCGATCAGGCACAAGGTTATTATTCAAGGGGAAAAAAAAAAAAA